AGACTCCGCCTCCCAAATGCATCTCGTCCAAACCACAAGGTTTTTGAACTATCCTACAAGCATCAATCAATTAAGGTAGAGTAACCAAATACAATGAACATGAAGCATCCCATATTTGAGTATCATTTGGAATCATCACAAACAGAAACTTACCACACAAAGTTACCTGCCAATAAACCAAAGCCCATGGCCCCTTGATTTGTGAAAGAAGTTCTGGAACAGAATTCATTCTTCCTCCAGAAGGGCAAGAATATCTACTGTTTTCATGAGAAATACAAGAACAGCACTGTTCTAGAGATTGCATAAGAATCTCCGTGTCGTTGCTATCACTGCTGAGATGAATTCCTCCAAATATTTCACCTTAAAATCATAACATCAAGTCCACAAAAAAGGTAAATAATTTTCAACAAATGAGAAATACAGGAAACAAATTCAACAAGCCATCTGCCCAACAATATATATTCAGCAATGAATTAACACCATTTATTCAAGAATAATGTGCAGATCTCTGAACAAATCAAATTTTGTGAATACATACATGAAAAAAATTCGAGAAAAAATACGTTACTTTTCACTATTCCAGGCATGATAAAATTCTGCAATGTCACATACAAGTTAAAAATAACTTAAGGAACAGAAGGATTTAGAGGGCGTAGAACCTGATATGTAGGTGTCTTAATACTATTGAGATCATGAGGGCCAGGTGAGGTATCCATTTTAAATATGCATCTTTCATAGTTCAACTATTGGTTCATTGACGAAGTCGTTTATTTAATAATTTCATAGTTTTGTTTTTACTACTATAACTTGACCTTTAAGGATAATTTTGCCCTTCGTTAGTTTTTTCCCCCCTACTTAGGTAATCTATTTAAACACTTCATAGCCTATTGTTTTATGCTTGATTTTGAATATTAACAAAACACTGAAGAGTTTCTTCAAACTCCTGATCCAACTGGTATTCGTGCGTGAATCAACAGTTAGGGATCATGTGTTCATCGTTCCTTGCTCTTTTGTCTACACAAGTAGATATCAGAGCACAACAACATTCCTGATAGAGACTGGTTGCTGTTTGGGAAGCCTGGGTGAAACTAAAAGGGCATGACATAAATCTACCAACGAATCAATTTGTTAGAGAAACATATGGATGAGTTGAAGGCTCAACAATTGGTATTGCTAGGTGCCATTGGAGGCGGCTATAGAGATTGACACAACAGAGATGTGGGCCTAGGTCGGGCAGCAACTCATGTGGATTTGATAATGAAGGAGGAATCCAACGGCGATAATTATCCTTCGTCCCTTTCAATCCCAAGCTAGATGCTGATTTAGGAGAAGATTATAACGGTCCACCAATATTTTATGAGGAGCCAGATGTCCAGATATACAAACAATGGTCCAAGCACTTTAAGACATTCTTAGTGGTAGCAAGTTTGGAAATCCTATAAGATCAGGTGGGTGATTTTGTCAATGAAGAAATCAAATCACTTATAGAAAACGACAAGTACGTCCAAAAGAATATTGAGAAGAGCTTTTTTCTCATTAAGGATATAGAGGCAGTTAATTTAGGGGGAAATCAAATGGAGTTTGGGAAGGAAATAAACACAAATCTTGCAGTGATGGAAAACTTAACAAACTCAGCTCTAATTGTTAAGGCTTGTGGCAGAATTTTAGGTCTAGAAGCATGCTGGTGTTTGACATCATTCATTGCCTTGGAACCAGCCATTAAACAGGTTGGTGAAACAGGCAGGGTACTGCTTTGGAAGCAGGTTGATGAGCACGCTAGTGGGGCAACACTTCTTTATGGGACATACTAGAAATTATGCCCATGTTTGTGCTCCATTAAAATGAGATTTTTTTTTTTTCCCCGGGGGGGAGGGATGGGTTTTGAAATAGTAATTTTTTGGAAAATGTGTGGTTAATAAAATAAGAAAAAGAGTTTTGGATTTACGTGTAACCTTTTTTATTGGCATGAGTTGAATGGACTAAGAATGTTCAAGATGGTGCGCTACCAATGGAATGAGCCATCTACAAATCGGTGGAATTTTTTATGCACCCAAAATTTTTCTTACAACTAAACCAAAAATTGCAGATATAATATGGAAGAATTCACTAATGATTTACCACCATTACATGACTTTGGATAAAATAATGGTGCAACATTCAAGGGTAAATCTTTTCCAGCAAGAGGAGAATGATGAAGTCATTTTTTAATTATTTTGTAGTTTTATTTTTATTATTAGAACTTGCACTATAAGTAAGGGATAATATTGCCTTTTGTGGGTTTAGGGTTTGTTTTTTTCAAGCCTACCGTTTTTAATGGTTAAATTCTGAATGTTAATAAAACATTGAAGAATTTCTTCTAATTCTTGATCCAACCAGCACGCAAATCAACAGTTAGAACTCTTGTGTTCATAGTTATTTCCACTTATGTCTGCATCATCCATTCAGCTGTCCCATGCAGTGTCATGTGTCGAGTTCATTTGGCAGTGGCAGCTGGATGATTGATTGAAAATACGTATCAACTCAATTTTAGAATATATGAATATAAGAAATAAAACATAATCTTCTCAATTCTTGAAGTTCAACTTAACTAAAATATCTAAAGACTAATATGTTACAGCGCAGAAATTAAACTTCCAATGACACAGAGTGCTCTTTAAGTTAAGGAAGATATCAATTTCAACTCTTATATTCGATAAAACAATCCAAAATCGCATAAATAGATCATTGAACATATATTGCCAATTGATTTGACAAGAAAAGTTCATAATCATACCATTATAAATAAGGACATTGCCGGATGCATCAACCAACGGCTGAACAACAGGATTGACTCCTCTAAGTTGCAACGTTGCTCCAATAAATTGCAATTTCCCCAAAAATTCACTCCCAAATCCATCTTCTGCTGACCCTTCATTCCCAACAGGAGAAGATAAAGTACTGTAATCTTTTCCAATATTGAGATGAAGCAAAATATTTCTCGTTCCTAAGCTGTCGGGACCCCTCCTTCGCAGAGTTGCTTTTATGTCATCCTCCGAAAACAAAGGCTGGCATTTTAACATATAATTAGTTACTTGGAAAAAAATATCAAATTCCAAATTTTTGCAATAAAATTGAATATTTTCAGAAAATTACGCAGTTCTGCGAAAATTGAGGGCGCGGAGATGTTAAATTGGGGATCAAAAGTGATAAATCGATCTTAATTCCACAGGCAATCAGTGCTATTCCACACATCTCTATGCTTGCGTAGTTTCTCAGTAAACCCTAGTTTCTCGCAACAAGCTTTAGGATGCGTTAAAGGTTTGAGATAATTAAATTTAAGTAAATAATTAAAAGGAGATAGCCATCATCAAGATGCCTCCGTAGCATAGTGGTAGTGCGTTCGCTTCGTAAGCGAAAGGTCGCGAGTTCGATCCTCGCCGGGGGCTTTTGTATATTTCTTTTTGGGAAAATTGCAGCATAATCCCAAACCTAAACACTTAATTGCATATAGGTCCACGTTCTTTTGGGAAATAAGCGCTTTCGTCTCCAACCTTTACAAAATATTACTAATCTATCCTCAATCCTTTTTTAGCACAATCCATTCACGAACATTTAATTGAGTAACAAAATCCCATCATTCCGTCCATTTTGACAGTTAAAGCCACCTAAAAAAACGAATTTGTCATTTCTTTAAGTAAGCAAAAACAAAGCAACTAATTAAAAATTATACCAAGGGACCGAATTTTTTTCAAAAATAACAAATAGACCGTCTTCTTCCTCAAGAACTCCACCCTAATTCATACTATTCATGTAGTCTATCCGCTTTTATTTTAGTCCATGTTTAATGACCATTAAAACGAATTTGTCCAAATACATTTCCTTTCAATGTTACCATCCTTCAATAAGTAACTAAATTTGTGGGGTCCCAAATGAACTACTTTTCCAAAAATTTAACCCCTTAGAGTAATAATTTCTCAAAAAAATATAGTCATGACTTCTGCCGCTCAAAGATATAGTTGTGATTTCCAACTCTTCTTACCTAATGTAATGGCACGCCATTCGAATAGGTTAGTTGATTTTGTATCCTTTTATTCTTTTTTCTTGTTCAAGGGACCTTGTGTGTAAATCAACTGATTCTCATGTGTTTCGAGTATGTTACACAGAGAAGAAAGTTTTCGACGTTTTAGTAGAATGTCATACTGAGAAGTGACTAACCATATAGTGATTGTTTAGTACATAGTATTTCGAACGCTTTGATTCACGTGAGCTATGTATATATCAAAATGATGCAAAGTAGCATTTCATTTTGCTAGTGGCATTCTGCTGCAGATGCTATTATGATATGAAGATTGTAGTGTTTGAGGTTTCATTTCCTTGCTTATGTGTATTTCATAAAATTCCGCTCGGAAAAGCGACTAAGTGTTTAAGAATAGAAAATATTGACAGGTAAAATAAATTAAAAAAACTGAACTCGGCTCGAACCAGAATCTATAGACCAGCGCCTTATCCATTGGGCCATGGAGTCGACTCGAGGTTCCTATTAGGTTTGAACCGGCGACCTCTTTGATCAATAGTCAAGTGGTCTACGACTGGGTTAAGGACCCTTTTGTTGCTGCACAAATTATATATTATTAGGAAGTCTCAGAAGTCTTTCCATTCCACTGGACTTTTGTTGATCTACTCCATCTTGACTAATAGTAGAATCTTTGTACAGATTCAAGTCTCAAGAGTTTTCTGCAGAATCCAATATCCAGCTAGTTGAAGGGGGAAAATTGCACTATTTGACCATTTCCATTTTATCTTTTCCAATAGAAAAAATATAAGACCAAATATATCCATGAAGGAACACAAGAAAAATCATGCAAGATTCTTAAATCCAATACTGTTTTATAATGAATGGTTTTATCACACAGATCTACACTTTCTGTTTTTGTACGTTTTTCCTATGTATTTGATCATTATACTTCATTATGTCTTAACATCGTTTTCCATTTGGCGAACTCTTCAAACATTCTTCTGGATTATTTTCGATGTCCGGATGAAGCCATAAGGACACCAACAGCCACGATAAACATCGACAACATCCCCACAAGGAGTACATAGGTTCTTCTTGATGATCGCCGATACTCGCCAAACAGAAGTATACCCCAAAACGTGCTAACAAGTGGAAGTGCCTGCAGTTACGAATGAATAAAATTAAGTGCTCGTTTGGTATAGCTTAAAGAGTTACAAAAAAGTTAAGGTTAAAGTCAACAATTAATTTTAATCACACATTTCATTGGACCAACAACTTTTATCAAAATCTACTAAAACTTCTTTCAAAAGTTTTATCAAACAACCCCTAAGCATAGTTTATGAGGAAATTTAAAGAACTTGAAAGAGCACAAGTCATATACTTGTGGAACGCGGTTCTTGCAATGTTTATTCCTCTTTTGAACCTGCTCAAATGCAGTTACCAAATAACTTATACCAAGAAAGGAGTAAAAGATACACTATGCTCCCTGTTTAGTGTGACTTAAAATTTGATAAGAATAAAAGTCAAACTCAACAATTAATTTTAATCACATATTCATGGAATCCACAGTTTTTATCAACTTTCGAACCCCATCGGTTTTATCAACTTTTATCAAACCTATTAAAAATAAGACTTTTAGCTACACCAAACAAGGTTCATATAAGTTTCAGTAGGAGCAAAAAGAACGAGTTTTAGACCTAAACGAGTTTCTTTGAATGCTTGACGCGCATCACTTATAAAATTCATTCATAGACAACCTTACGGCGAGGTTCTTTAATATGGTGTAGAATCAATATTTGTGCATAATCGAACTAACCTGAACGGCATCTGCTGCAGCGTATCCAGCAGCTTGACCTCCCATAAATTGAAGACCGTTCCCAAACCCGCACAAGAGTCCAGCCAAAAGGGCCCAACCTCGACCATTCCAGTCAGATAAGTAAGCCTTTATCGACGATTTGGGCAAGTTTAGAACGGGACGATACAGAAAACTGATATTTAGAATGATGGCAATTACAAAACATGATACTGAGAAATAAAAGAATGCAGTATAGACACTTAAGTGAGGAACGCCAGATTTTAATGTATGCCACTGATCATTAGTCGCCAAGTTGAATGCTGGTGAAAAGAGTGAAAAACAGAATCCAGCAAAGAAAGTTATGGCTAAGCCAATTAAACTTCCCTTCCCAAATACCTGCAAACACAGATATGGAAATTACGAAACTTTTAATAACTTTTTAATACAGCAGTGCGTGTTACGTATGCAGTACTCAAGAGGAAGGTACAGACATTCACTAACCTTAATTGCTCTTTTGTTCTCGAGTTCTATAAGAAAATGTGCAGTACCGAATTTTGCCTTCTCCTTAGTACCAAGTCCATTCTCCAAGTCTTCCTTTATACTGCTGTTTGCATTCTTTTCATTGGAGATAGGTGCATCCTTTATCCTGTTCGAGTTCATGTCAAAATTTTACAAATCAACAAGATCAATAAATAAACCTCAAAAACAAGTAGTCAAGTTCTTCGTTCTATAGCATGACTATTACACTGCGCTATCTTTGGATAAACTAGTGAGTTTTGCTTTATTATCTGCAGCATTTGATGCATGTACAGCAGAACCAAAACAAACAGCAATCAGAAAGCATCCTACGCCAGGAAATAGAATCTCGGCTCTGTTAATTTTGTCGTCTAAGAAGTAGTTTAAGGTTGTCCCTGTTACAAGACAAGCAGCACGTAAAACTTCAATACTATCTAATCGTCCCCACAAAACAAGCCATCAATGTATAAGAAATAGTAATACCTATGACAACAGTTATGCTCGAAGTGATCACCTCGGTCACTGACAAACCAACAAATGCCCAAGCATATTGAGTCGCCAGATTTCCGAGGCTGAGGAAGACCCCCCCAGCCATTGCAAACAAAACACTAGGCAAGTTATCCTGCAGTAATTTGTCGAAAACACAATTAAAGTTGAACTTGTTAGGATTATAAATAGCTCAAGCTCACAAGAAAACCAACCTGAGAGAGCTGATTTAGGAAATTTGGCTTTTGAATTGTACTATTTCCAATTTCACCAAATGTAAAAGCAATGATAACAGCAGCTAATAGATTTGTCATTGTATAATCAAGATAAGTATGCTGAGGAAGTCGACCACGCCTTTCCAGGAGCGTCAAAATCGCAGGCCATGTGCCTAAGAAAAATAAAGAAAGGAGCATACATCCTATTGCACCTCCTTTACTCTCCACCAGATACATCTTTAAATCACTCGACAAAATCCTGTCAGATCGAAGAAATATCAAAAATGGTAGAAGATAAGTCGGTTAGAAATAAACAAATCAAACGGTATCAAGCCTTTAAAAGAGTCGAAGTACAGAGCACGAATAAACCTATCTTGATTAAAAACTAACCAAGCTATTTTCTCAATAAATTTGGAGCCAGTTACATAAGTCAAGTCCATTTTCGCTATTCCATTCGAAATGTTCGATTTCATGGAGCTTAATTATACTTGTACTCTCGACTCAAGATCTACATAGTCAAAGTTATATGAAGAAGTAAACATAATTCACTGTATAAAATTCAAATTTCGTATCAAAATTGAAAACAGATACTGAAGCAGTAAATAAAAACTGCCCAGAAGTCTAGTTGTTCATGTCATCATGATGGAAGAAAAAGATAGAACATTTACCAAATCAAAAGCAACAAGGATTGATCCAAAACTTGGCCCTCCTCCTGCAATTTCACTCTATGGTTGAATCGGGAGAATGAGAACTTTTGACTTACAAGTTGATTATAAGTAATAGTAATGCTTGAAATGGAGTGCTGAGATGGGAATCTGTGTGTGGGATACTTAGAATCAAACGGATGAGATTCTCTTACACATATATTAAATACAATATGAATGCCGTTTTTAAGGCATTCTAAGTCAAGCACGTGGAAACAAAGAAAGTCAAATATGTCCGAAAAGAGTTTGTCTAATCGACGAAAACACTGGGGCCCACATTCATTTTTTTCAATTTTCATAACTTATTTTCGCCATTGTGGGTGGCATGTTTGGTAGTCATTATTTGCCAAAAACAAAGTTTTAAATGAATTTTTGAAAAAAAGTTTGGTTACAAAGTAGAAAAAAGTTTTAAATTTAGGTGTAAAATATTTTATTATGTAAACGTGTAATTAAAAGTAAATGTGTAGAAAAAAAAAAGTTTTTGAATAATGATTGTGAAAGAGACTTGGGGTGTTAGAAAAATGCAAACAAAATATCACATCGACTAAGACAAATGTCATTAGATATTTTTATAAGACATATGGTTCAAAAAATACTTTTGTGACCATTTAAGCCATTTTAATTAATTACTTTAGTAACTAAATGCATTAAAAAATTTAAGGGCAATTGAAATTTTATACAAACTTTAGTGACCATATATAAAATTAACTCGAAAATTTTTAAAGAATAAAGCATCTTGTACATTATTTTCTTAACATCAAGTTTGACACCATGTGTAAATTTAAATTGTGTTCGGCGGGAAAGTGTGTTGTTTTTAAAAAATGTCCAATGTAATGTCCCCACGTGGTAATAGTGTACTTGTAGCATGATTGATTTTTGGGTAATTCCCCTTATACTGAAAGGAAGGGTACCGAATGGTGTCCTCCCTCATATGGGGCGCGGGCCCCATGTGTTTTTAAAAATGGCGACTCGTGGTCCCATCTCTTAATGTGAGTGGGGTGTAAAGAATTATGTATAAAATTATGTATACATGTAAACTAACCCTTAATTTTTAAAGGGAACAATACACAAAACCTACATATAATAATTACTTTTCAAAAATAAAAAAATTGTTTAATTATTTCAAAAATCAGGTGGTAAATAGATTATAGCAGTAAATAAAAACTGCCCAGAAAACTATTTGTTCATGTCATCATAATGGAAGAAAAAGATAGAACATTTACCAAATCAAAAGCAACAAGGATTGATCCTAAACTTGGCCCTCCTCCTGCAATTTCACCCTATGGTTGAATCGGGAGAATGAGAACTTTTGGACTTATATGCTTGAAATGGAGTGCTGAGATGGGAATCTGTTTGTGGGATACTTAGAATCAAACGGATGAGATTCTCTTACATATATGAATGCCGTTTTTAAAGCATTCTAAGTCAAGCACGTGGAAACAAAGAAAGTCAAATATGTCCGAAAAGAGTTTGTCTAACAGACGAAAACACTGGGACCCACATTTATTTTTTTTAATTTTCATAACTTATTTTCGCCATCGTGGATGGCATGTTTGGTAGTCATTATTTGCCAAAAACAAAGTTTTGAATGAATTTTTTAAAAAATGTGTGGTTAAAAATTAGAAAAAAGTTTTGAATTTATGTGTAAAATATTTTATTGTGTAAACGTGTAGTTGAAAGTAAATGTGTAGCAAAAAAAGGTTTTTGAATAATGATTATCAAAGAGACTTGGGGTGTTAGCAAAATCGAAACAAAATCTCACGTCGACTAAGACAAATGTCATTAGATATTTTTATAAGACATATGGATCAAAGAATACTTTTGTGACCATTTAAGCAATTTTAATTAATTACTTTAGTAACTAAATACATTAAAAAATTAAGGGTCAATTTGAAATTTTATACAAACTTTAGTGACCATATATAAAATTAACTCGAAAATTTTTAAATCATGAAGCCATGAAGAAGTGCCCCGATCGAATCTCTTTCAAGTTGGCCAAATCTTTTGGCCATGAAGAAGTGCCCCAAGGGCCGGTCCAAGATCCGTTTTGACACGCAATAATTTGAAAATTCAGGATTTGAATTTTTATAGCTTCGTGACCTCATCACTTGAGATGAGAAATCTCACTTATAATTTTATTAAATTGAATTAGCATTTAATTATGTGGAAATATGTGAAATATTATTAGTATTCTAAAATACATATGGTTAGAATATCGATTTTTGGGCATCAAATATTCATGTATTAACCCATGTTTGGTACACATTTTTTTAAAATACATTATTTTAAAACTCATTTTCAACCATACATTTTTCAATAAAATAATATTTTCCATCACATCAATAATTTTTTCTTACTTTTTTTCTCATTATATCACTATTTAAAATACATTATTTTCTCAGTAATATCCATCAAACACACCTTAAATAAAATAAAGGGTCTATTTTGCAAGATTGTTGTGGGTTAAGCCTTTATTAATAGAGTTTTTACTTGGAAGAACTTTTTTTTAAGAGCTATTACTAAAAAAGTTGTTGATTTGACGGTCAACAAAAAGAGCGTTGCGAACATTAAATTGATGGGTAATGCTCCTTGTACAGCAAATTTGTTTACAGCTTTTGACTTGTACAACATTTCAAAAAATGTGACGTGGCCACTAAATGCTGTTAAATGATTAAAAAAAAGGTCCATAACCGTGTAAAACCTAAACCGGCCGATTTCTACTTTTTTAAACAATGGTATGCCCAAAATCATTTACAGCTTCCCTAATTCCCTCAATATCTGTTTTTGCCACGCCGACGAAAATAGTAAATGGTAAGCTACTTTCCACCTTAATATTTTCCAGCCAACACACATCCACATCCCGCCAATGTTAACCCAAACTTGAAAATCTCCAATTTACCCAACATTATAGAACGCGCCTCTACACATCCAACAAAAAACACATTTTTGGTGCCAACCGGAGTGCGAAGGCTTTTCGGTGCCATGGGGTCGAAGGAACGACGGAAAAAAGGTAATTTCAAGAATTATTTTTCGATTTTGTAGTGTTTCAAAATCTAAGTAATTTGTGTCATGGGGGTCGAAGATTCGACAGGAAAATGTAATTTCAAGAATTACTTTTAGGTTTAGTAGTGCTCTGAAATGTAAGTAATTTTTTTGGCCGTCGCTGAAATCTAAGTAATTTTTCGGTTTTGTAGTGTCTTATTTCGCATCTAATATTTTTGAAATGAATGATGGAGAAAGGTAATTGAAAAAATTATTTTATCAATTTGTAGTGTTTCAAAATCTAAGCAATTTTCTCGATCGTCGCTGAGATTTCTTATTTCGCATTTAATATTTTTGAAATTAGATATTCATTAACATATTAACAATACTCAAAATTTGATTTTGTTGTTATGTTGATCATATTCCCATTCAATATGATGTAGGAAAAGAACTGGTTGAAGTATTGGATGACGAAATTCTTGTAGAATCAAATAATGAGGACAATATCATCACATTGGAAGATAATATCTTCGAAGGAGCTGGTGTGATTGTGCCTAAGGTGGGTATGGAGTTCAAGGATGAGAAAGAGTTGTTTGAATTTTACAAGAGGTATGCGTATAACGTTGGTTTTCCAATTAGGAGAAGGAATTCCAGAAAGGGGGAGGATGGAGTAGTGAGATACGTTACGTTCACATGTTTTCGTGAGGACGAAGAAGCAATACTACAGGCGCTTCTTTGAAGCCGCAACCAACAATTTAGACAGGTTGCAAATTAAGGCTGATTGCTTCTTCAGATATTCGTGGAATATGGAAAATTCGCAGTCTATCTTGAACACAATCATAAAATAAGTCCTTCTAAATCCAGGTTGTATCGCTGCAATTCCAAATTGAGTGCAACTGTGAAACGCAAGCTTGAAGTTAACGATATGACTGGAATTCCTTTACACAAGAGTTACAACTCTGCAGTTGTTGAAGCGGGTGGGTATGAGAATATGACTTGTTTGGAAAAGGATTGTCAAAATTATGTTCAACAAGTGAGGCAATTGAGACTCGGTGAAGGAGATGCCGCGGCAATACAATCGTACTTATCGGAAATGCAAGCACGTTGCTCTGGGTTTTACTTTTCTATGGATATGGATGACGAGTCACGGCTTAAGAATCTTTCCTACTTTTCACAAATGCAAGCACGGTGCTCGGGGTTTTACTTTTGTATGGATTTAGACGAAGAGTCACGGCTTAAGAATCTCTTCTAGGCAAATAATAGGTGTAGGCAAGCATACAAGGAGTTCGGGGATGTAGTGACGTTCAATACCACTTATATCATTAATAACCTGCCATTTTTCTAATTAAGAGCATGGATTATTACATCGAACAGTTGAATCTCATGTTCAAATATGGCTGCTCACTCGACGGT